GAACCTGTGGGCTCAGGCAATCCACTCGCCTCGGCCTCCCAAAGTGCTGGGATTACAGGCTGAGCCACTGAACCCGGCCTAGTAGTTTATTAAACAGATATTCTGTAAGTTATTTAACCAGTTTAGTAACAACGAACACTTTATTATTATAATTATTATTGTTGTTGTTGTTGTTGTCATAAGAATTCAATTTAACAAGAAAAATTTTTAATACTTTATTTTATTTTAAAGTTGTGGAGGTACAAGTCAGGATAGGTTCATAAGTAATCTACAAGTAGGTGAAGTTTGGGCCTCCAACTGATCCTCACTTCACCTGATTTAGGATCAGGTACCCTTTATGTCGTTACATGTCCCACACTTCCTCCTTCCCCTGGCAGTGTCCCTCAACTGCTGATCCCTTTCTTGTGTGATTGTGAGTAATGTTCTGGTCCCACTAATGAGTGAGAACATGTGGCATTTGGTTCTTTGTTTCTGTGATAGATTGCTAAGAATGATTGTCTCTAATTCTATCCAATTTGTTAAGAAATCCATGATTTTGTCCTTCTTTATGGCTACGGAGTATCCATTGTATATATGTACCACATTTTCTTTATCCAGTCTACTTTCGATGAACAGTAGGGTTGGTTCCATATTTTTGCTGTTGTGAATAGTGCAGCACAGTATTTTTCTGTTTTCTACAAATTTTTACTTAAAAAACATTTCAGTGGTGAAGAATCTTTCTGATTTTTATTGAAAAATATATCTTGCATGACAGGATATCATGTGTATGCAAAGTCTAAAGGATAACAATAAAATGAGCACCTCTGTATCCCCACCTCTGCTGAATAGAACCTTGTCAGAAGCTTCGAAGCCCCATTTCATTGCCTGCTCACCCATCCAGAGAAACTGCTATCCTGAATTCAGTGTTAATCATTCCCAAGTTTTTCTCTATAATTTTGTCATATGCGTGTGTATCCTCCTCCCCCCCAAAATCTAGATCCTAAATAGAAGTCTATAGGATTAAAAAAAAAAGTGTGTGGGGGGGCATCTCCGTCCCTGGCCTTCCTTTCCAAACTCAGCATAGCCGGTTCTCTCCATCTGGAAGAGCCCTTCCCCCCTTGTTCATGAGGTTTTTCTCTTTATTCAAGGAAAACTTCCTCCCTTTAAAGTGATTCCTTCCCGATGTCATGCTAGAATATCTCTGTTTTTTGTCTCCACTCACATCCAGTAGGACATACCCACTTAGAACAATAATTGCCCACAGTTCATTTTCTAGAAATCTAAAGGAGGGGTTCTGGAATAACACCTTGCCAGGAGGCTTCAACAGAATCCTCCAGGATGGACATGGGCATTCCCAGTCTCACCACATTGAGGGTCCCTCCCTGGGATGTGACATGCCTCCTTCTCCCTCCTGAGATTCTCTTGTTTCTTTTCCTGACAACTCTTGGATAAAATGAACACACAAACACTCCGCTCCCAAGAACAAATGACGATCTCAGCCATTGTATTGTTTAAAGGCACATTAAGGAGGCTTTGGATCAAGTGCAGCATAATTGATCAAGATTCTTTCTATCCCAAATGAATGGAGATTTTTTTTTAATGATTATCTGGAGAAGCTTTAGCTTCTCCTTTTGCCTCATCCTCCTTCTGTGCAGACTACTGTAGCTTTGGTTATCTTCAAGCATCTGCTGATCCTTTTCTTCCAGAAGCCCCCCATAACATAGAAATAACATCACCTTGCTTGCTTCTGTCCTAATGCAAGATCCTGTAAAAAAGGAAAGCTTCTGCGGCAATTGCAGAGAATGGAGTCCGAGGCTAGTATCCCAGTATTAGCTACCATTTGCACAACGCTTGTTATGTTCCTAGAACTTTACATGTTATCTGAAAAGTACATTTTATTACTTTTGCACATAAGGAAGCTCAGGTTCAATCATGCTTCCAAAGACATTGGCTAGTGAATGATTAATTCAGAATTTAGATTAGGTGTGTGTATCATTAAAGTGTGTGTGTGTTACCACTATGCTCTATACCCTCTCTTTGGAAAGTTAAAGCTTTTCAACGTTTAGAATTTTTTTCCTTAGTATGTTAGTTTCCTAGGGCTGTCTTAACAAAGTACCACAAACTTGGTGGCTTGAAACAACAGAAATGTGTTCTCTCACAGTTCTGGAGGCTAGAAGTCCAAATCAAGGTTTTGACAGGATTGGTTCCTTCTGATGGCTACAATTCCTTCCTTGCCTCTCTCCTCTCTTCAGGTTGTTGCCAGTAAGTCTAGTGTTCCTTGGTTTGTAGATGCATCACTCCAGTCTCTGCCTCTGCCATCACATGATCATGTGAGAGCCAGGCACAAACTTGTGCTGGGCTTTCCTTTTCAGTGAAAGGAACCCATGGTGGCAGCCCAAGAGAGCCACCAGTCAGCAGAAAGGCTGAGCTGAACTGTGGTGGAGATGTTCCTTGTGGTGTCCACAGCCAAGCTCGTAATGGCACGGTGACACGGCCCAGCTGTGTTAACCACCCCTCCTCTGGATGCCGTACACTTTGGACTGTGTGACCAGATCCTTGAGAGGTTATTGCACCTGGGGAGTTTGGGTTCCAAATAGACAAAAAGGCAAAAGGTCTTGAGAGTCACACCTCTTTCCACTCCAGATTCTGTACGGCAGAGAAGGGAGGTATGAATTGATTGCAGGCCTCAGATGTTTTCCCAGATACCTGGCCAGGGTTTCACAGCACATTGTGCCTATGTCTATTCTAACTAACACTTACCACTTGAGAGAATGAACACTTTTCACTTTGTTTTTGAATCAGAGTCTCAGTGTTGTCCAGGCTGGAATGTAGTGGCACAGTCACGGCTCACTGCAGCCTCCAACTCCTGCACTCAAGCAATCCTCCTGCCCCAACCTCTTGAGTAGCTGGGACCACAGGCATGTGCCACCATGCCCAACTAATTTTTTGATTTTTTTTGTAGAAATGAGGTCTCACTATGTTGCCCAGTTTGTCTTGAACTCCTGGGGTTAAGTAAACCTCCTGCCTCGGCCTCCTAAAGTGTTGGGATTACAGGTGTAAACCACCACACCTGGCCTCTTTTCACTTGTTGTCCATCTCCCTGCACTGGACTCTGAGGGTCCAAACCTTAAGGTAGGAACCATGACACACTGGGTTCTACATTCACAGCTTGACACTTTGTAGGTGATCAGCCATTGCTTAAAGAATGAATTAATTGTTCAACAAACCAGCAAATGACTCTGTGAAGGAAACAGTCTAGTGGAACTCTGGCCAAAATACTGGCTAAACTTTCTCTTCTTTAACTACAGAAGAAGAGAGAGTTTCTTTTTCAATGGCCACAGTCCTAGACTTCACAGTCTTTTTCTGTTTTCTTCCACTGTAGGAATTCTCCTGAGTCTCCTGCATTTGTGGGCATCCTACCATCTAATGCATACAAGCTTATTTTTTAAAGAGCCAAAGGCAATGATTTTTATACAAACACACACACATACAAACTCTGTGTGTGTGTGCATGTGTATAAACAGTCTCAGTTATGAACTGATACAGGACAAACTACCCAAACCTTAGTGGCATTCTACAACCCTTTTATTAAGCATACAGATTCTTTGGGTCAGGAAATCAGACAGGAATTAGACTGAGTGACTGGTCTCTGCTCTCTGATGTCTGGAACCTCAGCTGGAAAGGCTTGAAAGCTGAGGATGACTCAACAATTAGAGGTTGGAGTCTTCTGGAGGCGTCTTCACCCACATGTCTGGTGGTTTGGCTGGAACCTCAGCTGGGCTGTCAGCCCAAGTACCTACACATGATTTCTCCATGTGGTCTCTCCACAGGGGCTAGTTCAAACTAGCTGATATCCAGGAGCCAAAAGAAGATGCCCCATGAAAGCAAAGTACAAGTGCATGGCACTTATATGATCTAGCCTCAGAAGTCACAGGGCATCATGTAGCACCATATGGCATTGGTTAAAGCAGTCACACAGTTTGCTCAGGTTTCTGGAATGGGGGAGTGGGCAAGTTTCTGGAAGAACATGTGGACACGCGTGTCCATCTTTGGAAAACACAATCTGCCATTCCCTCTCCCCTCCGTCCCTCCTCTCTCTCTCTTCCCCCCTCCCTCCCTCCCTCTCTCTCTTTCTTTCTTTCAAAACAAGGTCTCACCCAGGCTGGAGTATTGTGACATGATCATAACTCACTGTAGCCTTCAACTGCTGGGCCCAAGCAATCTGCCTCCCTCAGC